AAAATGCCTATATAAATATTCAGTCAAAATTTCAAGTATCTGTGGTCATTTGTTTTAGACTTTTAAAGTTACAACAAAATAAGGAAATCGCTAAAAGTGAAAATCCAATGTTGTAAAAATTTAAAGTTCAAACGCTACATTACGCTATTGGGAACAAATCAAAAAAAGTATATGTTTCTACGTCACCTAACTACTAGAGATTTCTGTGGCAATAAATATTTAATAAAATATATTTTTACGTCAACCGCGCCAATAGGGTAGAAGGAAAAACTTACGTAAATATTTATTCTTTCTGAGAAATACGTATACCCTACGAGTGTTTATCTAGTGCCTGCAGAGCAGTGCATCGCCGTCATAGGAAATGCATCGCGCGTCTTCATGTTGATTTTTTGTTTTTACTATGTAACAGTTAAGCTATCATAGTTTTATACTAGAAACTTTAAAAATTAAAATTAAAAAATTAAAAAATGTCAACGGTCAATAGACCGAACCGGTTAATTGGGCGGCTACGTTCATTAAAATCCCGCTCACCATATTAATATGACCGACCACCGACTTTAGCTGCTACTATAATCAGTTATAATATAAATATTTTATACACTTCAGTGCATTGGGAGTGTTGGGACACGCGGAGGTTCCACGGCGACGGCACTATCTATGTGGATCCACGTGGTTTATCACCGTTCAGCGTGTATCAACAGCGACTGATAAGTGATAACGGGCAGCCGACGGCGGCCCTACGTCACAGTGCGTCAATACCTATACTGCAGCTATAGCCTATCCCTATCTGCTCATAGGCTACAAAAGTTAGAAGTGACAATTTTTTTTTTTTTTAATTGTCAGCAACACTAGGGTGATTACTGATTAGTGATTAGCGTGTAGTGACTAAGTACGGTGACGCTGCTCGTTAGCTCTGTTCGCCGGTCCACAGTCGTTCCTCGAAAAAAAGGCGTTGGTCCTTCCGTYGTTCGATCGCCGGTTATTTGCGCGTCGCAACCGCAGCCCGTCAGTCGCCTACCGCCGCCCTGTCCACGATGTACGCCTAAAAAGACGAACGGTCGTGCCTTCTCTAGCGATCGATACACGTGATCCACCGTCGGGGACGCACAACGGATCCAGATCTGAGCAAGGTACGTCCACCTGAACGCCGTTTCCGGGAGGCACTGCCGAACACACAGTGGCCCCCCCTTCCCCCAATCAAGGCTTTCGATCCGGTCGCGAGTCTCCTACTTTTTCACCGTTTCCAACATACGTGTGTTTCCAACATACGTGTACCTACAGATATTCTCATAATATAATGTTTTTTATATTTTTTTATATGCATTTTTAATAATCATAATAATAATAAAAATAATGTATGTKTGGTGCACACTGATCAAAAACGACTAATTAGTACTAGTCAAGTTTTTTTTAAATTTTATTTTCGTTTTTTGTTTTATGTTTTGACACAATGTTCTTCACAATAGATGCCTTACAAAGACCGGAATGTTACGACAATGGTGTCTCGCAACCGTATATCGACTGATTCTAAGCCCAAATCTAGGCCGAAGAAAATCGACAAAGTAAGATGTTCCGATAACAACAATATTGTTGTGTATCTACACAATGTTTTTATTACTCTTCTACTATAGCTATTATAGTTTTATTACTTAACATATTACATAACAATTAACATATGTGAGTATCCTCAATCGCTATCTTGATTAAATATTTGCGCCAACACAATTGTTGCTTTAGTTTGTGCTACAAATAAATATTGTAAATCTATGTTGTTCGTGATAAGTTTCTGCATCCCTAGTGTTATCTCTATAACTATAACCCTATCTAAAAAAATTTTTGTTTTGTAAGACATAGGTAATCATGCTTTATAACTAGTTAGTAATTCGTTTTACCTTGACCAATTATGACACAAATGGTAGGTATGTATTCCAATTATGTGACAATAAACATTTTCCTTTGTATTTTATTATTACTCAATTAATTTCTATTATTACACTTATTCAATAATATTTCTATGTAGTCTATATTTTATTAAATGTCTAGATATTTATTTGTTTAGATAGTTTCATTATTTAGGGTTATTCCATTTATTACTAGTCAACTTCAATGTTGTAYATTGATTATATATTATATTATATCAGCTGATAGTCAACTTTAAAATCAGTTTGTAGAATGCTAATCACATTGTTAAGAAATAACAATTTACAAAGTAAGACAAATCTATTTCACTTACATTTTTTAAAAATCTTGATTAAGTGTAAAAACAATAAAAAGTAACTAGAGCCTATCTCAAAAAATAATAAAAAATATCTACCTAGATACAAAAATGTAATTTAATTTAGTTTCAGATGTTTTATTTATCTATTTCTAGGTATGTCAAAAGATTTTGTGGTCTTGACTGGATTAAAAGAAATTATTAATTTAACTCGATTTTAAATCAATCATACTAAATAATACTTTTCTCGAGTCATAATAATTTTCAATATATTACTCTTTAATTGTTGTATTTAATTACAACAACATTGAATTGTTTATTTTTCTAATGCATGTAAAATCTATGTATTAATATGTTATTGACGTTGATCAGTTTTAATATACTGCTTACACCTAACATTTTTTTTAGGTATTACAAAACGGCCAGAATAATTCTAAATTCAAACAACTTAAAAAATCAGCAAAAATGGAAGTCCACTCACTTGTGGTATGGAAACATCCCATCTTAACCTTAGATTATTTCTGTAAAGAAGTAGTTTATTTATCCAAATCATTTATTAAAAAGTAAGTTACATTAAAAACTGTTTCATATTTATTTATTATAAAGAACTTTAAAAATATTTGTTTAAAATTCAACAAATTATCCATTGTGTTCACTTAAAGTAATTCAATTGCTATAAAACTACTTTTCAAGTTGCCACATAGAATGCAATAAATTGTTTTATTTTTTATTTGTTGTTTTTTATATACCTATTTGTCTTTGGTTTTACCAATTTATTATAAATATCCTACTATAATTTAGTATTTTCATAATTCTACATAATATAAGATCTTAAATTTATTTTCCAAACTTGGTAAATTAGTATTTATGTTTTCCATAAAATAAGTTTTTATTTTTTTATTTATTATTATTGTATTATTTGAACTGCTGTTAAAATAATTGATGGACCTTGGTACCATATTCAAACACATTCATCAATTAAATGTTCAAATTAAATATTATTTTGATCAAGAAAACAAATAAAATTAAAATATTAATAGACTATTAATAACATTTTTGTATGGTATTTTTTTTAAATTGTTACTGATTGTATTTATTCACGTATTTATTTTGTTATCCACAATATTTTATCTTAACAATGATTATTAACTATATTTTTATTGCTTTTCAAATTATATGCATTTAGTTGTACTTATAGTTTTTTAATTTAATTTTAATTTTTAATCAAATAACATTGTAATGTCAGATAATTTTTAAACACATTTTGTCATGCTATTTTATAATAACTTGTATGATTTTTAAATAGCATTTAATTATTTTAGTAACATATTACTGAAGGTCTTTTGTTTGAATAATATTTAATTGTAAAACTGATTATATTCATTTCTATTTTTCAGGTTAATTTGTTATAAGTTATATGTGCTTCTGGCATTTTTAGTAATTTCTACTCCAATTATTTTACTATATATAGAAGGTCCTCATTTACCAGTAAGTCATGCTGTTTTAGTTTAAATAAGTCAACATCAATTCATTTCATTATTGGATTTTTAGATATTAATATGGGCAAAATCAAAAGTTGTATGGTCTCTCTATTGGTTAGGTCTAGGAGTTTTATCATCTGTTGGTTTTGGTACTGGCCTTCATACATTCCTTCTCTATTTGGGCCCCCACATTACCTCTGTCACTTTGGCCGCCTATGAATGTGGAGGACTTAACTTCCCTGAGCCTCCATATCCAGAACAGTAAGTTCTACTTATTTAAATTTATTTTATATAGTTATACATAATTAGTTTTTAAATTAATACAATTTCAGAATTATTTGTCCTGATGAAGTTGACAGTGCTTGGATAGCCAGTTTATGGAACATCATGTTAAAAGTACGAGTGGAAGCCATGATGTGGGGAGCAGGAACTGCGCTTGGTGAATTGCCGCCATACTTTATGGCTCGTGCTGCTAGACTTTCTGGTAGACCACCAGATGAAGACAAGGAAGATTTAATAGAATTTGAAGAATTACTGAAAAAAGAAAAACATCCTGAAACAATGGTTACATTTGCATATCTTAGTTCATTATGTTAATTGTATGGTAATTCATATTTCTATTTCAGACTCTAGTGGACAAGTCAAAATTGTTTGTCGAGCGACTTGTAAAAAAAGTTGGCTTCTTTGGAATCTTAGCATGTGCATCTGTAAGTTAATAATTTGTTTTATACTATAAATACTAAAGTTTGATTAATGTAAACATTTTAGATTCMGAATCCATTATTCGATCTCGCTGGGATTACATGTGGACACTTTTTAATACCGTTCTGGACATTTTTCGGAGCTACTCTTTTGGGTAAAGCTGCCATTAAGATGAGCATACAAGTGTTATTTGTTGTTGTAGCTTTTAATGAAACACTTATTGCTAGTGTACTAGACATTGTTGGAAAAATCCCAGGAATTGGAAAAAAATTGCAGGCACCTATTACAACGTTTTTAGAAAATCAAAAACAAAGGTTACATGCCAAAAAAGACTCAAAGGTAATCAAATATTGATCTTTGTTATTATATTTTTAATTATTGACATTTATGTACTTATATAGGGTACAAATATTGCTGTGAAATTGTTTGATCTATTTGTGTTATCAATGGTTCTTTATTTCATTGTATCTATAATCAACTCTATGGCACAAAATTACTATAAGCGACACCATAAGACTTCAAAAAAGCGATTAAGCGACTGACATACGGTTGTCAACCGTTTGAAAAAATCTTATTGTAAGTCCAAACGGAATTAAATAATTACAACTCATTCATACATCCAATTTTTTTGGTATAAATTAAAAATTATTATTTCTTGGTACACAATAATAAGTCTTACATTATATATTTATTATAAATTAATAAATATGACAGGGTTTTGATTTATAACTATTATTATAAAAGTAAATAAAAAAAAAATATTTATAAAATTAATATTATTGTATTATTATGCTGCTCAATCAACTAAATGAAAATTGTTACTATTGTAAAACATACTATTTAAGATTTAAAAATGTATTGTCTCAAATGGCAATTTTGAGCAGCTTTTTATTTGTATTTTTTCATATTAAAAATAATAATTTGTGTTCCGTATGGTATATTTTATATTAAATATATTTTGCACAGCAAAATATAATGAATTGTAAAAATATTTTTAAAGTATATGTGTTATCCACAAGCGTTACCAATATTTAATTTTAGGTGTAATTATAAACCATGCGGGAAAAATTTTATTATACTGATTTTAAAATGTTAAATATTGTTTTTTCTCCAAATTAAATGTATGTTAAGCAATCTTAAACATTTTCCTAATAAAAATATCATTTAAAATAACCAGGCCTGTTATCAAAATACAACGTTGATTAGAATAATACACAGCCAATCAAAAATTCATTTTTAGTTTGATTTTGTAAAATATGTTAGTGGTAGTCGCTACACAACAGAGGATGCTTGTGTATATCCTTATAAAATGTTTGTGATAATAGTGAAAATTATAGTGTAAAGTTGCATTAAATTTAGTGGTAGAAGACTGTTCCCCTTCTGAAAATTTGTTCATTCCTGTTTTGAAAAAAAAATTATAATTACATGATGAATGATTTCAAGTATTATAATGATTTTTTTAATTTTTTAATTTGTCAATTGTTTTGTAGAAAGACAAATTACATATTTAAATATTAATTTGTGTTACGTGTATGCATGCCAGTGATTATGCATTTTTGACAACAAACCATTAAATATTCAAATTGTGTGTTTTAGTAATTTTATGTAGTTAAATACTATATTTGTTCTCATAATATACTTGTGTTTTCCAGATATTTTGTAAGACTTTATTACTTATTAGTTATTAGACTTTTCAAAGAATAATAGTGAAGTGTGTAGGGTAAGTCTTATGTAAACTGTGTTTAAATATTATATGGTTCAATGGATTTGTAGTACAATTGTCCTCAAATACATTATAGGAATGTATATGTATATCATGTAGAATTATTCAATTTTTTTTTTGTGACACAATACCTGTTTGTATGTTATGTCACAATGATTAATAACCAAATTTATGTTTACAAACATGGTAGTATGCATAAATTTGTATTGTGTACACCTTTATTTTGCACATGTGGATGTGTTGTGGACTTGTGGTTTTTAATACTAATTACATGTACACACATGTATATTTTATGTGTGCATTATTATTTGTTTATGTATTTTTTTTGTAATGAAACCCAATAAAATGTTATGTTGTTTTATTTCTTGTAGTTATCACTTTCTTTCCATACATTATTCATAAAAATAATATTTTATTAATGTTATAATAGAATAAATGTGTCTATATATTACAAAATATAAATGATAACAAATTATTGCTGTAATTGTTGTTATTGCTGATGCAATTATCATCCGCTCATTACACAATATATATATTATATATTTTTTTTACTGACATATGTATTAATTAATTAATATATCTTTTATATCCATAATTTGACTATTAGACTATTAATCGTCAACAGATTTTAATGATTTACAAATATAATGCTTACTTTATTCATGTTACCATTGCCTAAAAGTAAACTACATTTCTTATTCATACTTTTAGAATAGATGACCAACATATTTATGYTATTTACAGTTATTTGCATAACAGTGTTGTTTCTAAGTGCATTTAAATCATACAATGTATTTTCTATTGTTTTAGATGATTGTTTAATCAACGTTTGATTAATACATTGGTGTATATTTTTAATTTAATTTAATGTTTTATATAATAAAAGTGTACATGGGATTCTTTTCTTTTATTAAATACTTTTCATTAGACTACTAGCTTATACTTTATAGAATACATACTTGTTAAAAAAAATACTTGTACTACTATATGTCTATATCCCATAATAAAATATTAGCTAACTATTTATATTGAGGCACACTTTCACATTGTAATATTTAAGTTGAACTAAACTTAATATAATGTAGTATGTAATTTTAATTTCTTTATTTACATTATATTAATTTTAATTAAAAAATGATAAAATGTGTATTTTAAATATTGCAGATTATTTTTATTCTACCAATTTTTCATTGATAATATTATGGCTAATCRAAATTTTTTTGAAAATAGAATTCCAGGTGTTTAATATTTTTAAATATATTTTATCATGTACAGTATGTATCAGAATATGTTAAAATGGCATAATATGTTTCTGTTACACCATGTATATCTAACCTATTATAGACTATAGTAGATTAGAACAGTGATTTGGTGCTCAATTTTTTTTTCTGTGGTGTGCTTTTATGGATTAAATAATACAGCCACAGTTTTCTGTGAATACCCTGAAAAACAGGACAGAAAATACTCGTTAGTAACACATTTTTTAAACAATTTCTATGCATTTTTAATTAATTATTGTGAGCCGTTTACTGTAGTGCCTTTAAAAAGTGCTCGCAGTGTCTCTAGYGCACAGTTTAGGAACCACTGCTTTAGGGGAAAGAATAGCTGAAATTCACTATTTTGTTTTTACATTTTGTGTTTAAAAGCCTGACCTGAGGGATAAGTGCATTGCAATAAAGGTATGTAGTTATAAATACAGTTATATTTCTGATTTCATATAAGTGAATGTCTTGAATAGTAATAGGAATGATGTGTAATGATCTTATATAACTATTATATGTTTCCTAATGAATGGAAGTATTTTACTGAAGTATTATTGATTAAAAATAAAATAATACTGTATGGAATATATTTTTATTATACACACATTTCTATAACAAATAATAAACATAAATTTTATAAAATAAATTAGAAACATGGGGAATTCATAATTTTATCATAAATATATTAAAATATTTAACAAAGGTAAATAAAACTATTTCAATTATTTAAAACCAATATTATCATGGTAAATTGCTTACTTAAGTCTAAACAAAGACATTAAAAGTAAGGATGTATGATGATATATTTTACAGTTACGGCTTGTGTAATTCTATTATCTAATTATTAATTTTAAATGAGATGCTTATGCTGACTGTTGATTGTTGAACATTTATTACAGTTTTAACTAAAAACAAAATTTATAATATTTTATTTGTATTTAAGTTTTTATCAAATTATACTAAACCCAAACTTTAAATGCAATTATTCTATTATAGAAATTGTACTTACAAATACAATGACAAGGACAAGCGCATACTCATGACTCATGTACCTATGAAACAGATGAAATGTTATTTATGACAACTAAGGAATGAAAATTCACTATTCTCATAGTTTTTGGTAATGGATTATAAGATAGTATGGTATGTTTATAAGAATGACAAAAACCGTATGATTTACTAATAATATTATTTTATCCTAATATTAATAACGCAGCCATTGTCTTTGTCAATCATAATATTGATTTATTCTTCTTCGGTCTTATTATTTTGGAAAGACGCCAGTAACTGTTCAATTCGCGAATAAATGTCTCCGTTTTTGCGTTCCAAATGGTCAAGCACCAAGTTCAGATTGTCGATCTCTTCATGCAACTTGTAGACAACTAAGAGAACAAATAAACATATACTTAATTATTATTCTAATCAAATAATATTGCATAAGTTTTTACTGACCAGTATCACCTTCTTCATTTTCCCCTCGAGCCGAGTCCATGGATGGATCAGTGGTCTCTTCTTGGTCTATATCGTTAGCTTCGTCCGCCATATTTTCAGGAATCTTAAAAGACAAATTTACAGTATTAAACTATGACGAAATATTTTTATTGCATTAGGTGCCTATTATATTTGTTGTTAAACGAACGCAAATACACAACGCAATATCGAACATTACAAGGAAACTTAGCAAACAGAAAAATAATTAATTCCGTACCTACAACGTTTATTATAAAGTTTAATTATGCAGCTTACCAGGCGTTTGACAATGACACAAGAAAAATAAAATCCAATATTATTCTAAATTTCTAACTCTGACTACAATATTAAAGTCAAACTAGGCGTCTGCCGTCTTCAACTTACTGCGGCCTTGAGACTTGAAAACAATTATGTATTTGCTACTTGATAATAGTTTTACTGTTATCAGTATATTTCTGTTATCTCCGTGTACAGTGGATTTTTATGATAAAAATACGAAATAATCATGGCTAAATAGCTATTAGCGATTTTCTTTTAAAAATACTTTTTTTAAAACTTTTTTAATTTAATAAAAATAATTTGTGTACGTCGGTATTGATAGCATAACAAATTAGCTTTAAGCTAAATAAAAATTAAAAGTTGAAAGTTTCGAAGATACATCAGTAAATGAGTGGTAAGTTTTCAGTTCTGTTTACAAAAGTTGAAACTAAAAAGTTAAACCGTAGAGAGGTTTTTTTCATGACATGCCCGCGGCCGGTCTTCTTCAAGGGATACGATACGACTTATAGTTGGACATTTAATGTTTATAGTTCCTGGCACTTCATAGTCCATACCTTATAATTTATTATAAAAACTACTGCGACGTATAGATAATATCATAAAACAATAAATAATATAATATTCTAAAATTGACCCAACCTTCGTGATTGGCGCACATACGGGGGTGCCAGGGGGTGCTTAGCGCCCCTAAGTCTTATATTAGCACCCCCAAATTATTTTGAATTAAAAATTGTGTTTTAAGTGTAATATTGCATTTAGAATGAATTATTTCCAGTTTATATTTGTAATGCAATAATTTTTACTAAAAATGTTGTTTTCGTATACTGCAATGTCTATCGGAATKATGATTTATTGATATGAAAATAATGATATAAACTAAAATTATTTAGTTTGATAGTATAGAAATGTTCAGCTATCTATTCTTAGTTAGT